CATCTTAATAATTTTTCCTTCAGCTGCAGAAAAAAATCTACATTTCATACAAAGTATTATTATTAGTATTATTCAAGATCAAAAATCTTTTGCTGATGAAACTTGAAAAATGATGTTGGCTGAACAAAGGTTCCTGAGTTCTGTTGAGAAACATATTGAATTTAAATCTAAATGTTCCACTGGGACTTAAGCTCCTAGAAGCCCTCTGGGGCGGCAATGAGTTTACCTCTGAGCGGCCGTGTTGGCGTCCACCACGCCGGCCGAGTGCATCCAAGAGCGAACAGCTAGCGGCTCCTCCTTCATGCTGGTTGTGGCCCCGCGGGGCAAGTTGTCCTGGATCCCGAACATCTCCAGGGGCCCGAAGCTCCAACCGCTGCCGCAGTCGCACGAACACAAAACAACAGGAAGAAAAACAAGAAGAGAGAAAAGTCCAGAAGAAAAAAGAGCTCAGCTCTGCAGGACGGACGGAGACTTGGAAGTCTGGTCAGACGACGATTTCTTCATGAACATTTAAATCTCAAAGTCTGAAACGTGTCGGACGACGAGGACAAGGAGCAAGGGAAGACGGAGGAAAAAGGAGAAAAAGAAAACATTTGTCGAGGGAGGAGTGGAGCAGGAATTTTATTCTTCTCCAGAACTTTTTTTTAGATTTAATTCAACTTTTTACTTGGAATTTTAAAAAATCTGTCAGTTTCGCAGTGTTTTTTATAATCTCGTCTTTTGTCGACATGTTGAAAAGGGCGGGAAGGACAGAAAAAAAGTGAGAAAGAAAAAAAAGAAAGAAAGTTGAAGGAGGAGAAGAACAGAAAAGAGAAATAAAATCCTCAGAGGAAGAGAAAACGAGGGGAAAACAGAGACGGGTCCGGACAGAGAATCGAGCTAAAGCTAAGTGTCTTTTTTCTTTTCCCCAAAGAGATGAGGAGGAGAGGCCGATGATGGAGGGATGAGGAGTGGAGGAGAAACTCTCAGCCCTGCGGCCCCACAGGACTGGACGCAAAAACCCAAAAACCCCACGGGTCTTCCTCCAAGCCACTGACGACATCACAGCGGGGGCGGGGTCCGGCAAAATTAGGAGAGGAGGGGTGAAAGAGAGAAAGACAGAGAGAGACAGAGAGACAGAGAGCAAGAGGGAGAAAGAGGGGGAAAGAGAGATAGAGAGGAAGGAGGGGAAGGAGGGGGAGGGAACTCAAACCGACCAACCAGGGAGAGACAGCCCTTGATCGCCCAGTGCAATCATGTCCTCTCTCTCTCCAGTAAAGAATCTGAGCTGGTCCTGGTTCCTGGTCCTGGTTCCTGGTCCTGGTTCCTGGTCCTGGTTCCTGGTCTATGGTTAAATAAGGTGCAGCTGAGGTGTTGGTGGGAAGTCTTGCAGATCTGGCTCAGTTCTGGCTCAGATCTGGCTCAGGCCAGGTTCTGGTCTGGCTCAGCTCTGGCTCAGTTCTTGTTCAGTTCTGGCTCAGTTCTGGCTCAGTTCTGGCTCAGTTCTGGCTCAGATCTGGCTCAGTTCTTGTTCAGTTCTGGCTCAGGTCTGGCTCAGTTCTTGTTCAGTTCTGGCTCAGTTCTGTCTCAGGTCAGGTTCTGGTCTGGCTCAGGTCTGGCTCAGGTCAGGTTATGATCTGGCTCAGTTCTGGCTCGGGTCTGTTTCAGATCTGGTTCAGGTTCAAACAGGAACCAGCAGGGGAACATTAGAAATAAAAATGATTCACACGTGTTCTCTTTCAGACAGGAAGCGAGAGAAGTTTTTCAGAATAACAGCGTAACAGGCCCTCGAGGCTCCAAGGGGGCCGGACTGAAAAACAAGTGGAGGAAGAAAGGAGAGATGAGGAAGACAAAAATTAAAACCAGTTGATAGAAAGAGAAAGAAAATATTATGATGAAGACAGAAAATTCGAAAAAAGTGAGGACAAAGAAGGAGGAGGAAGAAAATAAGTAGAAAGAAGAAAAAAACAAATAAAACTTTTATCTGCTTCAAGATCTGAGAAAAAAAATCTGAGAAAAATGTGAAAAGAAAAAAGGGTTAACAAGGTGAAATCAGAAGAAAGCAGAAGAAAAACAGGAAACAGCCGTTACTTTGGCGAAATCACTCTTTGATCAATAACTATTCTTTATCTTCTTTATTAATTGGACAAAAACTGATTCACTTTTATTTTCACGTGTTTGTGAACCATCGTCTCCTTCTGTTGTCAAAAAAACTGACATTGAACATTAAAGTTAAAGCAAACTGACGTAAAACTAAAACAAGATAGATAACCCTAAGAAAAGGAGAAAGGGACGTGAATCTGGTGAACGAATCCTTTTATTTAAAATGTTCAATGTTTGCAATATTAAAGAATTAAGAAACTGATCAGACTGAGATGAATCAAAACCAGATTAATAACAACGACAATAATACTGATGATGATGATGATGATGATGATGAAGTGTTACAAATAAAACATTCAAATATAAAAATGGAACAATTTTTGCATTAAATCACAAATTTGTCTTTAAACCT